CTTCGCAATAATGTCAAGTCACGTTTACTTCCTCGCGAACAATAATACAAAATTATATGTAAATAATTTCTTGCCACTACAGTCTAACCTCTTGTACGATAACTATTCATTTATAAATAGTTTTTTCTTATTTTTTCGTTTATCCAACTGTTTCTTTTTATACCCATTGATACCCCACGCGTGTAAATATGACTATAATTATACCTGAGCTCAAAAAGCGTTGGTTTGCTAATTTTTCAGAGAATAGTCAAACACGAAATAACTTCGATGCCGAGAATATAGTGGGTTGGATAAATCTATGGACCTGTCGCGCCCGCTATGCGTATACATTAGAAATGTTTACTATTCGTAAATCTTACCGCCCGGCGATTTTTGTGGCGTCGACGTCACAGAATTCTCGATGATGATTGGCTGGGGAGTTATTTCATTCGCATCGCCTGCGTAGCGCTATTGGGATCCCAGCATCAATCATCAGGCGCTCTGCGACCAACGACGAGACGCCATATTGCTGGCCATTGAGGAAGACAATTTGCCGCAGCATGTTGTTGTAATTAGTGATACTCGACTCCGTTTCGCTTCTCCGTTATTAAAGTCTTCTGAGGCAACATTCAACCGCACGGAAAAAATGCCGCGTCACTAGCTGGTGGGAAATAAGTTACGTCATTAATCAATCCGAGAAAGAGACAAACTTGCCAGACGCTTACAAAACTAACATGAATACCTCTACGTAAAGACTTGACAATTGGGCCATTAAAACCTGCTTCATTAAACGTCACATAACTAGCCAGTCTCGGATCACGCGTTCTTCCAAGGGATCGATACGCTATTTTACATTTACGTACATACGTAGTCTAAAGTTAAATTGTTCTATTCAATAATTTTACATTCCTGCAATCCTCCAAATACATAGTTTCACATTATAAACCAAATAATGTAGGAGTATCCTACTATATAATATGACGATCTCTGCCTGTCTGTCTGTCCGTCTTTAATACTTCCAAATCCCCTGAAACTCAACAGAAGTTCTTAAAATTTTGCAGAGCGAATCCTCAGGGTCAAATACAGGCCAGGTTCGAATTTCAGTAGATCAGATTAGGCAATCATTACCTTTTACCCTAAAAACTCATTTTTTAATTACTCTTTTCCTATGAAAGATTTGTATTTGTGCATAGAGATTATTGCATAGAAATATGAAGGTAATGGAATATAATTTTTGTTTACTCTAAGTGTGTCACTTCAATATTGAGTTACATAAGTGGGGCCACAGTGGTTAAGAGGCTAGAGCGATTCCAAGTAGGACCTTAGTGGCTCAATGGATAGAGCGATTCCAAGTGGGGCCGCAGTGGCTTAGTGGATATGACTATATGAAGTGGGGCCGCAGTGGATAAGTGGATAGATTGATTCCAAGTGGGGCCGCAGTGGCTTAGTGGATATAACTATATACAATGTTGAGTTAATTTCATTTTTTTTTGCCAGTCTTTGTATGATAACCGAAATTTGTAACATCGTAACTGTTCTAGGCACGTGACAATGCTAAAATATGGTCACGGGCTGGGCCCCTAGTATTTTTATAAGAATCACAAAGAACTGCAACTGTTCACAACATAATCACAAAATTCGACTCGCCTATCTGGGCCGTCATTATTTATAGCGTGAAGTAACATGGTGATGTAGTGCCTCCTCTTAACTTGATTTAAAATGCGATGGGCATTCTATTTGCTAATACCTTACCCACGTGCAGCTTGCCGTACGAACTTAGACGTCCCGGGGGAATGTATGCTCCCGCACCTCCTCTGTTTGTTGTCGTTCACTTCCTGCAGTACCGCCCTTTCGTCACATTATGTACAGTTCCATCCTTCTCAAATTTGTCACGTAATCGTGTCATTATTACATGTGACGGTGCCGCAGTAAGGGATTCTGCCCCAAACTCCTTCCTGCACCACAATTATATTCTCATATTTCCAATTATACTTAAAAATACACTTACTTTGTTCGACAGAATACCTCATCGCCTCCGCCATTTCCTTTACAATCAGCCAATTGATCAGCCTGTAAATTGTGATGTGCCTAAACGTGAGGATAAAGTGGTAATATTTATAGCTAGGGATTTGGAGCATATACTAGACGTACTGATTATGGCATTAACGATAGATTTGGCATCACAGTTGTCACAATCACGTCAATGAACGAAGACATGGATAGTTGTTTACATCTAGTTTTTCAACGTATCTATTAATCTATATAAAACTAACTCTAAGCTATTTAATTTAACAACCAGGCCAATTAACACATATTAACATTTTAAAAGAATAACCATTTTTAAAGAAAGCCATGTAGTTTTGATGATTATGTAACGGTAAGTAGCGTGAGATTTTTGTCTCATACACCACCTACAATTTGAACAAGGAGCATCAATAGGCCAATAGCCGTTTGCTTTGAAAATAATATCATTTTAACATAACAGAGGTAAACTACAAGTTTCATGCGGTTGAATTTATACCACTTATAACTCAGGTAAACCTTGCATTAGATGTTTTAAATTACAGGCTTCCTAGAGATGAAAATATTACGCTCACGAGATATTACAAAGCTGAATTCCACCTATTTGTTTGCAGCGAGTGTATACACAAGTAAGCCAAAGCCTTGACTGTTTTAAAAGGTGCCTCGCCATTCTCTTATTTTACTATTGGTATTTAAGAGGCTAACTTTTTTTTTTTTTTTTTACAAATTTATCACATTACATAAATGTCTCGTTGTGGTATGAAATTATTGTTTGAAAAAAAAAATCATTACAGGTGAGGAAAACGACTGTTCAGGACGTATGGAAAATCTTGCGGGGATATATAATTTGTATAAATTTTTTTACAAATCTTAAAATGGAATAAAACTAACAGCCTACTTTACGCTAAAGCTCATAAGAGTTACTCATGTCATAATAATATTATGAAGAATATTTATTGTTTCACACGGTTCGCCCGTTTTCGATTTTATCTTTTTAGGTCAAGTCAAAACTGTTAGGCGTTTAACATGTATCGCAGGTGAATAAAGTATAGGATTTTAAACAAAAAGTAAATTATCAATTCTATTACATCTAACAGACACTTTAAATAAAATCAAACCTCGTGTTAAAATAACTTTTTCAAAATTTGTATGAATCAAGATTTTAAGTTAAAATGCTCATATACTAAAAAAAAATCGTAATTATTATTATTAAATTTATTTGATATTTTTATGGAGGTATAGATATATCACGATGTACGTAGGAAGGAGGAATATTATGTTATATCACATTGCTGCAAAAACAAAGTCTTTATTGCATATTTGCTATTGATCATAATAATTTTCTCTGGCTTTGACCACTAATCTAATAGTAATACAGTTAATTAAACCAACCACTGACTTAGTGCTGACTTCTGGTGTCGATTAAGGGTAATATTGCTTTTCTCAAGAATCGTGTGAATATAAGTAAACAAATTCGAAAAGCTAAATTGTTCGCATGAGATTTTAGAGGTGAAAAATTATGTCTTTTTGATAACCAAACACTCTAAACTATCGTAGTTTCTATTGGCAGGCACGATGACTTTGATGCATCAGCGAAGAGATTGTGAATTTCAGTAGAGAGCGGACAGTATTACCTAATTTATGATCGTTGAAATAAACATTGATAAGGAATGTCTCACAAAATATCACATAGAATAGTTACGTACCACACTGTGTACTCATTTACTTACCAATAAATTCTTAACAGTTTGCAAGATTTCAGGGTAGGTCTGAACATTGGCCTGTTGACTTAACAGCTTACTTTCCTCTTCACAAGTATGCTAGAAAATTTGATCGAGCAGGCCGTACACTAAGGTTTACACGAAAAGTATTTGCGTGTTAAAGTTAAATGTTTAAGGTGACTATATATTGGAAATAAGTCTTCGACACCCTCTAAATACGTCAGCTTACATGGTCTGCCGTAGAAATAATTGTCTGCCGAAATTTGGTGGCTATCGTTTCACTGTTTTTCGCGATATGTGGCATCAAAGTGGAGCTATCTTACAAAATGGTGGGGGAAAAGGTATGTAAAGACATATTTGGTGGTTTTAATATAGACTACTGACAACATATTAAGTTAGGGTAAACTTGGTTACATGGTTTGTAGAATGGTACAGTAATCAAAAATGTTCAATATGGCGCCATTTTAAAGATAAATATCGGACCCGTTTAATGCATTTTAGTTTACATGTAGTTTAGTATTCTGGTTTGACGAATTTGTTAGGAATCGGTTCATTTTTCCCGAAATATTACACAAACACTTTAATTTTCATGTCGTGGGCTAATATAACACAATGGTTTAAGTACTAGCAATCACCTGCCAACATACAAAGTTTGGTTTAAAAAATTGGTTACATTGTTTCTTAGATAAAGTATAGTAATAAAAAATGTTACATGATCACCCCATTAAAATCCATTCCTTTACGAGAGCATACGATAGCATTTCTTGCTTGTCGAATTTGGTAGGAATCTGTTTTTAGTTTCCCGAGATACGATACAAAAACTTTATTTCCACGTGACTATGTATTAGCATATTTAAATGTTAGTAGTTGATACTTCCAACATATCAAGTCAGGTTAAAGCTGTTAAAAAGTTTTATATATATATATATATATACATATACAGAATTAACCTAAAATTTATACGCTATGTGCGCCTTACAATTTAGGATAGGTCACATGTCCTATGACATTATTAATTCCCTTCCAAATTTGGCGGGTAACTAATTTGTTGTTTCCAAGATACTGCAAAAGCTGAAATTTTTATGTAATGTTCTCATCCAAAATAAAGGGAATCTGAAATAGTTTTGCCCATACCAGACCAACACTTCAAATTTTTAAATCTTATGAATGTACCAAAATTATAATAATATTCGCATAGAAAATAATAAATTACGAAATTAAAGTATGTTACAACGAAATGGTCGAAACCTATGAAAAAAGAAAAGGACTGGTGCTAATTAGCAGCGCATGGCTTCGATCCACGGACGCCTGGATTATGGATCCAGCACCCTACCACTGCGCCACTCTGCTTACGTGACTTTAGTACACTTTTGCTAAATCTAGTTATCTTGTTGACATGCCTGTACCAGCAGAAATTCAGTCCTACGGCTGGTTTACAATTTGTCGTGTACATTGATTGATTCACTGAAAACTTGTTACATATAGTGTCATTATTGCATGTGATGGTGGCGCAGTATAGAATTCTGCCATCCCTCCTCTCTGCACCACAATTAAATATGTACATTATTTATTGTGAAAATATGAAGTTTGGTCTAAATTATTTAAATGATTCCAGAGGAATGAAATACTACCTTGAATATAAAACTCGTCACCGTTTTGAAAATAAGCTCACCGCATGCTAGAAACCTATAAATTCGGATGTCCTTGCTAAGTACTTAATTACAACGATTTTGGTGAAATTCGTGTTATGGGTTCAAAAGTTATTTCGGGGATGGTGGGGATGTACAGATATTTGCATGATTGCATAAGCTTATCTTTCCAAAGAAAGTAGGTTGAATAAACAGCCATGTTTCAAATACTAAATAACTTTTTTATTTGACAATTGTTAACTTATCTGAATACGTTAACAAGGATCAATACCTACCATCTTGGATTTTACAACTTTCCTTCTGTTTTAGAGATTGTATCATAATTTTTGGCCTGACAGAGCACAGTTAATACTACTATCCAATTATTCTGAACTTGATAGCTACACAGTCTTCATTAGTTTCTAACGGGAAACAGATAAGAAAAAAAAGAGCGCTTACTTTATGCAAATTAATACAGAGGCCATAACACAAAGAGAAACCTCGTCATAGATATTTCAGGAAGTTTGTTAATGTATACCCTTTGCCCCATTGGCCTGCAAAACGCTAAACAAATTCTCTACTGCCGGGTTTCGGAGAAAAAAGCCAAAATGTCAGGGATCTATGAATCTGAAGTGTTCTGGATAACTGATTGATTCATCAACACATATACAAAACCAATGGACATAAGAACGTGAAATTTTACACGCACAGCTACCCACTGAGAAGAAGATATTTTACCAAGCTGCAAAAGAGTTCATAATGGTTACAGTTATTTTGGCGGAATTTTCATTATATCTTATATATGATGTGATTTTGCGGGGTCTCTTCCTAAAAATTATTATCTATATAAAATTCTATAAATAGTTTTCAAATGTTTCTAAAAATTCAACTCTTAGTCTAAGGTGGCTAAAATGGGTAAAGTTGTTTGTTCAATAAACAGTTTGTTTTCCTAATACATGTAAGACGTCAGGAAGTGTTTCACTTTAAAATATTCAAAACACAAAAGAAAAATACTTTTTTCTTCTTCAAGATTTTTCGAAATTCAACGCCAAAGGAGTTGAAAAGGGTTAAAAAAAAGTTTTCACGCAATTCTCTGTACCTCTTAAACTGTGCGATGTTTCAGTGTTTTTGGTTTACATAGGACCAGTCGATGACATATTTAAAGTTGAAGCGAACGATTATTTTGTGCCCCCACTTTCTCCTCGGCGTAAAAATGTACTCAAACAGTTATGCAGTGGCGGTTCCTACTTTGTAGGATTTTGGTGTGGGTCAGTGATAATAGAGTACACCAACGAGGCGTTGAACTCCGTTTCGCATGATAGAGACAATCTGAAACAACGACGAAACTTGACGGTTACGCGGCAGTTAAACATGCTTACTTCCACGGCACACGAACACCACAGCACTCTGTGCGAGTTTGACGAGAAACTGTGGGAGCCAGTCTTCGTGTGTGGCGTTTTAAGCGAAACGAGCGAGTCGCTCTAATCTTTCAAAGGAGCATTGTCCTACTTCTCTCGATGTGAGTGGGCGGGGAGTATACACGAGTCATATTCCCTTCCTCTGCTCCCACTACCTTTTTTGACAAGACATCTACATGTTTTGATCATTTATAAAATTTCCTCTGAAGACAACAGCAGGTTTCGCTGATTATTTTTTAATGTAACTACACTGGGTTTAAGGAATGTCTTTAAGTAAAATTATTGTTTTATTTTTATTTGAAATTATAATTTCTCTCATTTCAAAAAAGGTTGCTTTTCAAAATTTCCCCATCTGTTATTTCGCATGTTCGTCTTATGTAGTGAAACTGCGTCATGGCATCTTACTTGCATCCTTTAGCTCGGCGGTATATGTAATCTAATAGCGGTTTCTTCACGCTTTTTGAATCAAACATTTGAAAAATCACCCCATGTATGATGTGTTTAGTTACTTCATAAATATGCCTGCATGTATCAAGCTCTTTATACCTCTGTTAACCTAAAAGTATCTTATATTTCGTTAAATCGAAGTTTTGCCTGTATTTTATTTATAAATTTTAATAATTAATTTACAGTAAATACGAAGAAAAACCGCGAGAAACACGTGTGTTGGCAGCACCTAGCAAGAGATAGTTCTCATGCAAAATGTGATTACAACAGATTGCGCACGAATCCGGTGCGTTGTCCTTTGGTATAATTTTCTAGACTTGGTTACACTTAGTTAGAACCAAGCGGAGGAATATCCTGGATGCAGAAGATTAGCAGGTTTTCAGAAAAATGTGAAGTAACCATGCATGTATTATACATAACATATCGGACCTGGCTTCATAATAATATAAACACGAATGCCTGAAAAATGTAAGAATATTTCAAAATTCAACACTAAGCGTGTTCAAAAAGGCAACATATTTTTTTCATACATTTCATTACATAACTTTTGAACCCAAATACATGCTGTAGTCCTTTTCGTTACAGAGGAGCATGTGTACGAATGCCTAAATATATGCGAGATGAAAAATCCATATTCTGGCGTTGAGCAGGGCCAATCTACGAGCAAACGTTATGCCTAATATTTATGCGCCACACAATTATTCGGTAACAAATACAAATTCAGGGTTGGCATAGTAACGTTCGTAAAACTGAAATTAAATTAATAACAAATGCGAACCAATTGAATTTTTTTTTCAATTGGGTGGTTAGTTTTTATTACTTGTAATGAATAACACTTCTGAGAAAAAGTCATTCACATTCAATGTTAATTTAATATTTATATTATTTCATGTTTTATTATCAAATAAGCGAAGTTTAAAGAACTTCAGGGAACAATACGAGCAAAATAATTTTTTTTTTATATATGTTGAAACTTTTCAATATAGTTAGTTTCGAAAATGTACAATTTTCTTCCGATAAGATGCAATTAGGAATGGCTGCACTACACATTTTGGTCAACTACATCACTCAAAAATGATCAATATTTTAGACCTTCATCTATAAAGGTCGCTCTAATATCGTGACAGTATGTGTGTTTAAGATCCTTCTATAGCTCTCTCATTATAATACTCTAACTGCGTATATGTATGTATGTATGTATGTATATGTGTGTGTGTGTTCGTATATCTTTAATACTTCACCGCATATGAATATTTCACCTAACTTTATTTTCGAAAAATATTTCTGCCATCATAGTATTTTGTAATTACTTTTCAAAGTCGAATTTTATTATTTCTTGTTGCATAAATAAAATTTACTGAGCCATTAAAAAAAAGTAACAAAAAAACTTCCAATTCTTCCTAGTTACACATTTTGAGGCGCTTTTAAACAAAGGCGTGTTTACGAAAATTCGTTGAATTCAGCAAAACAAAAATTGCAATTATATGTTATTATATCAAAATATTTCTTCGGGTACTTTTTTATTTTTGTGTGCTTTTGTCTATGGTATACAAATAAATATATATGTACTTATATATTTGTTTATTTAGTTCAAGATAATAAAATATATCGGGAAAAGTTTTTCCGTACCCGAACAATACCTGTCATTTCCAAATCTTGAGAATGTACAAAAAAATAATAATATTCGCATAGTAAACAATAAATTAAGAAACCAAAGTATTCTACAAAGGAATTGTTGAAACCTAAAGCAAAACGAACAGTGCTAATTAGCAGAGCGTGGTTTCGATCCACGGACCTCTGGGTTATGGGCCCAGCACGCTACCACTGCGCCACTCTGCTTACCTATTTACTTTCTAGCAAAATATAAATTTAATTGGTTATTTATTTTTAGACAATATTCAGCACTACAGCTGGTTTACAATTTGTCGTGTACATGGACTCATTCCCTAAAAACAATTGCAAATATTAAAACAATGCTTAAATATTAAGCAAAGACTTGGAACATAAATTACTACATATTTAATGATAGAGGCCATAAAAACTAGGCTAGTTTAAAAAAATAAGTAAAAAGGAAAACAATCTGTTGTTTACAGATTGAAATGTGAAACATTAAATGCAAATATAAACAATACCCAAAAATTAAACAAACAACTTAATGCATACATGATTACATACTAAATAATAAGATCAAGCAAAACAAAATATTAAGGCGGTTCCTAAGATGGGGGTTTAAAGGGAAGGCAGCCTGGTTCTACAAATTAAACAACAAGAAATTAATACAATAAAAGGAAGTATAAACATAACGATACACTATATTAATACAAGGAACAAAAGAGGCGATCAAACTTGTGATTATACTTACTTCGCTATGGTTTGTGGTTTAGTAGTAAATAATATTCCTGCCAGGAAGGTTGTGATCGTTGCTTCATGGACGAGCTACAGTTTGTCATCTTCGCAAATAAAGATGGAGTTCCTTCCAGTGAAGCACTTGACCTAACTAGACAACATGTAGAATTCATTATAATATGGATGTGGGAATCGTGCGGCCGGTCTGCGGGTTTTCACGAGAATGTTCTGTTTATCCGCCCTTGCATTCCGGCACTACTCCATACTCACCTCAATCACCTCCATCGGCTTCAAGACCTAGTGCTCAGGAGCCACCCAAATTTCTCAACTCAACTCATTCTAAACTGTCACACACACTACTATAACTATCTGAAAAGTGTTATTTATAGTGCATATGAGAGCAGAATATATATATTATGTATTCTGCATATGCATATATATTATGTATTCTGCATATATATATATATATATATATATATATATATATATATATATATATATATATATATAT